ATTGACGCATGTAATGTTTACTTAATTACTCTCTGTATGATTTTATGGAGAGGCTTGTATATGATATTTTTTTCCCCAAGCCAAGAGCTTGGCTTCTTCCATGATGACCAGGCATGCTGAGAGGAGTAGTGTCCATTTTCTCCTTTTACCTTTGTAATCACCATGTGGGTTCCTTTGACAAAAACTACTGCTCTTCAATATGATGCCTCTCATTCTACTCTCTTTAGAATGAATGCATTGGCCTATGAAACATCATGGTCGTCTTTTTTTGGCTATTATATTCAATGTAAAGTTTGTTGGAGAATTATTAAGTAAACTTATAGCATGCAAATAAATCCGAAAATAAAATAAACAGAAAAGTCTGGCCTAATCAGGTAGCAGTCATGCAAACACTGCTCTAGAAGATTGAGGACCCGCCTATCGTCCTGACGCGGATGATCCCCTCTCACCTAGCGGTAAAAGCCTTTGTAAACAACCGACCTCTGTACTCGAACGAGAGTATAGAGCTTCTGCTCAGATGAAGAAGAATGCCCAAATAAAATAAGTAATAGTAGCAAATTGTTGAGAGGAAGAAAAGTAAAGATTTTTTCTCGAGTTTTGAAGGCAGGAGAGAGGGAAAAGAACTTTCGTTGTTGTGTGTTCTCTGAGCTGGTAACAGGAGGTATATATAGGGTTGAGAAACCCTTAGCCGTTGAGAAATCCCCGCGTAACGTTCGACCGTTTGCATGTTCTCCAAAAATTATGCAGTCGTTATACACGTTTTCCACGTGAAAACGTGTAAAATGAAGTTGAAAAATTCAAAATGTAGCGTGCGTGCATACGCGTTGGGCAGGGCTGCATGGCGAGGCGAGGCGTGCGCGCGCGTGTGTTACCCAAAGCCCAAACAAATGAAAGCCCAAAACACCCCCTTTTTAAGGACCCTCAAAGCCCAAAGAGAGGAGAACCAACACCCTCTACTATTCACTACACTAGGCAATGTGGGACTATTCATTAAAGGCAAAATTACCTTTTCTCCACTACAAGGCCAACAGTCCTCCCCAAAAGGCAATATTTGACTGAAATCTCAAAATAAATAAATCAATAAATCATAAAACAAATATAGGTTTGGCAACCTTTCGTATCGTGAATTCGGGAGAAGTAGCTTTCGGTTTTGAACCTTTCATCGCAACCTGAGGGACATAATGGACTAGGCCTTGAATTAGGCCCATTGCACCAGGTATTGATGAAAACACACATAATACGTCTTCATCTATTAAGCAAAGGAGTTGAGCGTTAAAGGTCATGCTCACAATAACCTACTCATGAGAGTTTCTAGGGGTTAGCCCAGCCCCCTCCCCAATCGCGGCCACCACGGTTCCTCTCACGTACATAGGTAAGTCCTCTAAGGATACTATAGTTGGATATCATACCCTCCACAATACATGTGTTGGACTTATTAAGAGTAAAACTCAACCTACCTAGCTATATCATAAGAGCATCGTCACCATAGAGAAGGGGTAGCATAAGATACTACTATAATGATATATGAATATATCTAGGTCGATGCTCCACACGTGTGTCACTAGTCCAGCTTATTTCTACCACATTGAACCTACATTGGGACTACGTCTCCAAATAAAGGTTGGGTTCCTGCTGTCAGTGATCTCATCTATGAGCTTAACCTCATCTCCCTCGATGAATCCAGAACCACCCTCCTGGATAGACCCTTAGTCAATGGGTCAGCAAGATTCTTTCCAGACTTTACAAAGTCTAGAATCACAACTTTGCCTAGCAGACATTGTACAGACTTATATCTTATTTGAATATGTCTGTTAAGTTTTTTATTTACATGCACTTGCTTCAGAAGCTCTATGGTAGATCTAGAATCAAAGTGAATAGAAATTGGAGGAGAGGGTTTAGGGACCAAAGACAGTTCAGAGAGTAGATCTTTTAACCATTCTGCTTCTGTAAAAGTGGTATCAAGTGCAATCAATCCGGACTCCATGGATCATTCCAAGAGTGTCAAACCTGAGAAGGTCACCGATGTTAATTACAAACGGTGGGCTAATCGGATGAGATACTAGCTCACTGATGGTTCCATTGATATATATAAAGTTAGATTAGTAGATAAAGGCTATACTCAGCAAAATGTAGCTATTCCCGAACCTAAGAAGAGATATAGCTTATGTTGTGGGGAGATTGAGCTGGTATACCAGCAACCCTAGAAAGGAGATCTTACATTAACTGAAGCCCTAAAGGCTATCCACATTGAAGATCAGCATAGACAAAATTTCAAAATCAAGACTAAAATGAAAACTAAAGTAAACTTGGTAGAGGATAAGTCTAAATCTAAGAATTTTTCTCGGGTTTTGAAGACAGGAGAGAGGGAGAAGAACTTTCGTTGTCGTGTGTTCTCCGAGCTGGTAAGAGGGGGTATATATAGGGTTGAGAAACCCTTAGCCATTGAGAAATCTCTGCGCAACGTTCGATCGTTTGCATGTTCTCCAAAAACCGCGCAACCGTTACGCATGTTCTCCACGTGAAAATTAAGTTGAAAAAAAATCAAAACATGGCATGCGAGGAGGGCGGCGCGGCAAGGCATGGCGTGTGTGTTAGCCAAAGCCCAAACCAATGAAAGCCCAAAACACCCCCTTCTTGGGACCTTCAAAGCCTAAAGAGAGGAGAACCAATTCAAACTCTCTACTATTCACTCCACTAGCCAATGTGAGACTATTCATTGAAGGCAAAATTGCCTTTTCTCCTCTACAAGGCCAAACAAAGTTAGGGAGTAGATAACTTGTTGCTTTCATCTGCTGATCTCACGAATCCTCCAAAGTTCATACCAATTAATATAGAATCATGTAATCAAATCAAAGAAAAACTAAAACTGTGATATTTAGATTTTTTTTTTTCAATTTGGAGATGAACAATAGAAGAGAAGAAAATATTATTATCTCTTTTCAGAGAAATTATCTCAGTTTTTTCTTTCCTTATAGTCATTTGGATATTTTTAATCTTTTTGTTAGAAAGATTCACTGGTTTATATTATATGAAACTCGCATCGGAATTGTTCGTCATACAATTAATTTCTGCATAATAAGTATTTATTTATTGTTTCTATATAGTAAACCGCAATTTTCTAACAAACAAGAGTTTTTTAATGGATTTGACAAACAAGAGTTGGATTAACTTTTTACAAAGTATGAATATCACAACCTTAGTTAGTCCATAATAAATCATCTTAATTTAGTATGCTTTTCGAGCGTCAAGGGGACTTCAACATCAATTCTAGGCTTAAGCAAAAAGCATTACAGTCAAAAGCTCATTATGTATCTTTCACTTTATTTCTCTACCTCCAACTTGAACAAACTGCACAAGTTTGTGTGACAAACAAGTTATCTTTCCTATCTTAGTTGCCAATATTCCTCCTTCTCTCACAATCCTTCACTTCCAAGCCAAGATTTGCAGTTGTTTCCCTTATCAGATAGGTAGTTGTAGTGTATGCCTGCATCCAATATGAAAGCTACCTCATTGTATAATTTCACCCATTAAGGATAGTCGTTATAAAAGAAATGGTTGCTTCCTTGTCAACCCAAGGTTTTATGGTAAAATATGCATGATCACTACTGATTCATACTTCTGCTCATTTAATGTATAATTGTAGTTTTTCTAAGTAAACGTTAACAATAAATGCAATTTGCAAGAAGTACTATGTAGTCTACTCCGCTATAATAATGGCAGAATCCAAGATTCACTATTCATACTAAGTAAATACTACAGCAAATTACTGTAATATTGTTACTGTAGCACAGACAAGAGGATCTAAGATTTACTATTCATGTTACAGTAAAAACTGTAGCATTATGATTGGAGTGCAAACGTGAGCTGTAACGTTTAAAAACATTACTATAGCATATTATTGTAGCTCAGCGGGATACTGTATCATTAAAAAATATTACTGTAACACTTATAAAAAAACTGTATTTATATACAGAATTACTGTAGCGAAAATTAAAAAATGGAGGCCGTGTTTTGCACGGGGTGCACACTAGTTAGTTCTATTAGGAAAGAAGAGTAACTATTTAGATAGAATCAAACTGTTATAATTAGAAATCGATATTTTAATTCCCTAATCTCAATAAGAGGGTCCAATTTGGTTTTTGTTATGTTTGCGGCCGATGTAATACTCCACTAGAGCTCATGATGATTCCTTAGAAAGCAAAGTAAATTGACACCATCACTAGCCATTACATACTTGCAGATTTTTTTTTTCCTTCCATCTCTTACAAATGATTCAATTACACGTATAACAATTTTAATCTTTCAATTAAACTATTATCTTATCATCTATTGGGCTATGGTGATGGTCTCTAGTTAGGAGCCCATTTGAAATGTAATGTCAGGTCGGTCTAAAAAGCCTGTTAGAAATCTACAGAAAAAATTTATGATCTTCAACCAATTACATGCTTCAATGTAATTACCAGAGTAAGTGCTATAGCTCGTTTCCAATACTCATCAAATCAAGCCTCCACAATTTCAAAATATGCTTAATAGTTGCTAACTTTAGGCGGCAAACAAATCAGATACACATTGCATATCATATTCATATATATATATCAGTCTTCTAATTATGAGTATGAGAATGATTATGTAAGAAAAATTTATATCCATATCTAGAAAAATATATGGACACATATACTAAGGAAGAAAAATATCATATTCATATATATCAGTCTTCTAATTATGAGTACGAGAATGATTATGTAAGAAAAATTTATATCCATATCTGGCAAAATATACGGACACATATTCTACGGAAGAAAAATGGATGCGGTTGCAAACCAAATACGAAAACAAAATTTCACAAAGCATAGTTTATCAATATTTTCAACAAACCTGCGAACATAAAATTCGATCTTTCATCTTTGGATCATAAACTCGGTTAAGACACTAATTTCAAGGCCGAAATTGTTGTAACCATGGTCGACAAAAATATCTAAAAATTTAGATTCGGATCCGGATATTTTATCTACGCTGTAACTGTATCTTATCAGAAAAACAGAACAATATCTGTATCTGTATTCATATCTGATCATACTATAAACATTTACAATGTTTCTTTACTCCCATCTCTCAATTTGAGCAGTGACATTAGCTCTCCTCTCTAACAACTCCTTGAGCTCATCTGTACCAAAAGGTAGAGGCATTGTGCACGGTTCGGAATCATGAGGAGATTTCACCATGGATTCAGTCATGAATTCCTTCACTCTTCCTTGGGCTTTACAAGCCATTGATTCTAAACATAACTCCACCGCATTTTCGGGAATCGTTGGCTTGTACGTCAGTAGTTTTGAGTATTCTGTTAGTAAATGAAGCATGTAATCATATACGTAGTCAATTTTGAGCTCTTCTTGAATGAAGTTGCTTCCCGCCTTCCCAATTGCTTGTGCCTGTTCAGTTGTCAATAGTTTAGCGACAAATGATAATATTCTTAAGATAAATGTGTATAAAATTATCATATCATGCTTAATGCTACTTACTACATATGACTTAGGTTGTATACGCACAAGAAAGTCCTGAGCTTCCTCCTATATTTTATAAATCTGATGCAGTTGGATATATTTTTTTAAAAGGAAACATGGATTAATTCAGCGTTGAATTTAAAACAGGGTTTAATTTTAGGAAAAATGCCCCAGACTTTAGAGGGTTTGGCAGATCACCCCCTAAACTTTTTCAAGTTGAGAAAACCCGCCTGAACTTCAATCTGAGAAAGCCCTCTCAACTTCAATTTGAGAAAACCCCCATGAACTTTGAAGGTGTTGCAGATAAGCCCACTAATTTTTTTTTTGCATCCTGCTAAACATGCTAAATTTGGGGATGTCTCAGAGAACTCCCATAAACTTTAAACTTTTCTCACCAGATCCTAACAAATAACTAAAATGTGCTTGAGAGAGAAAAACTCCCAATTTATAAATGATATTTAAGTTGACCATAGTTTACCGTTTAAAATCATAAAAGCAATTAATGATAGTTTTGTGAAGCATCAAACCTTATCTTGATGTGCATTGCCCCAGTCAACCGCAGCCTTGATCGACCTGCACTTATCATTATCACGTATCGGCAAATAATGCTGCCCCGGCATCAACCCTCGGGTGAAGAAGTCATCGAACCGCGTGTCGACGAATAACGTCGGCGAATCACACGCCAGAATGTATTTCTCGCTCACTGACCACGCCCTTCCTTCTATGTAAATCTTGAACCTTACAACAACAGAAGAATCAAAATTTTAAATCATAACTATCTATTATTTAGTGGATTATAATGAATCAGAAGGGATGTGATAAATATTAAATTTAGAACGAATTGTAACAATCTAATTAATATTAACAAGAGTTTCTTCGTGATATGAGTCCTTTTAAGTCTTTAATGTTTTTTTTAATGAGCCTCTCGCATACTTGAAATTGCTATGAGGCCCCTCAATTGTTTCCAACTGCCTCAGAATTAGTCTCCCAAATCATTGAAATTGCTCTCATGACCCTTAATTCTTGTGTAAGTTGTTTTTAATTAGCCCTCTAATCAAAGAGTAGTAGTAGCTGTGAGTGGGGGTCACCCTTTCCGCATGAGACTTCGCTGAGTTCGGAAGGCCCACCCGAATAGAAGCTATAAATATAGCTTCTAATTCGTGCCCTAGATGGGCATGCAGGCAGAGGGTGAGAACGCAAAAAGGCGGTTGTGCAAAAGAGGGTTCGTACAAGCGAGCAAAAAAAAAAGTCGGCTGTGTTCTCTTTTGGCGGCGTAAGAGCAGAGGGGAAAACTGAAGGTGTTTTTCGGCTCAAGAAGAGAAAAATCGCAGCGGCTTTTGTTAGGGTTTTGAGCATCCATTGGTGGAGATATTTGTGAGAGATTTGAGAATTTGTGTGAGTGTTTAATTTGTATGATTGTAAACCCTATTTGTATTCTCTCTCTAATAGTAGATCTCCCCCCTCCTTGCCTCGTGGACGTAGGCAAATTGCCGAACCACGTAAAATTGGTTGTCTCGCTGGTTGTGTAATTTGTAATAGCTTATTTAGGTTCCCTCGACAGGTCAGTCCTAGAACTGATGAGAGGAAGAGCTGATATCCTAATTTGTTGAGATATTTTACTTTTGGTTCTTGTTTCCTTTGTGAAACGTGAATTCTTATTGCGACCTAACTCTCTTATTGTGCTGCTGAAATTTTCGCTGCGCACAACAAGTGGTATCAAAGCCCAGATTTTAGATCTAGGGTTTTAGAATTAGGTGGAGGAAGATTCTTGTGTGAAGCTTGGTTCTTGGAGTTCTACGCTTTGGTGGAGATAGCATTAGGAGTTGTCGTTGGAGATTTCGCTTTCCTCGTGTGGACAGGAGATCTATTTGAAATCCGATCTAGGGTTCAGTTAGGTAATTCTTAATTTTTATCAAAGTTTGATTTTTTCTCTACAACTTGGAGTTAGTTTGCAATGGGAGAAGAATGTGAAAGCAGCAAGTTGATGGCGAGTACAGTTCAAGTTAGTTTTCAGAACATCAAAATTAGTGTGGTAAAGTATGACGGTAAAATCAACTTTGCTTTGTGGATGAACGACGTACATGATGCGCTTAATGATCAGAACTTGGAGGAGACCATCATGGTCCATAAGAGACCACCAAAATATGAAGAGGCGATATGGGAAAAGATGAATATGAACGCTTGTGGGGTGATCAGGTCCTGTTTAGAACAGGAGTTGAAGTATGATGTGATTAGGGTGACGTCTGCAATGAAGATGTGGGAAATTATCAACAATAAGTACCTTACGAAGAATGTTAAGAACCGGTTGCACTTGCTGCATAGGTTATTCAAATTTTAAATGTCCAAAGGCACCTCGTTTGCGGTTCATGTGAATAACTATACGAAGTTATTATCGGACTTAGCGAATGTTGATGAGAAGATTTCGAATGAGTACAAGACTATTATCTTATTGGGCTCCTTACCGGATGAGGAGTATAACACCTTTGTGCTCACTTTGTTGAACGGGAGATCTTCTATCAGCTATAGTAAAGTTATTAATGCATTGACAAATTATGATTTGAGAAGGAAGGACAATGAGACTTTCCGTGCTAGTACTTCAGGCGAGGTCTTGTCGACGAGAGATAGAAGCCCATATCCGAAAGGTGATAATAGATGGAGGTCAAAGTCAAGAAACCGCCACCAATTAGCAAAGAACCAATGTGCATTCTGTAAGGAGAAGGGATATTGGAAGAGAGACTGTTCGAAGCTCAAGGAGAAGGAGAATGACAAGGAAAAAAGGCCCGAAGGCCAATGAGGTGAATATTGAGAAAGACGATGATTCCGATGATTCGAGCTTTTCTCTACTGATTACTCCGGAAGTGAACCACTTTGATGCATCAGATTGGATGCTTGATTCTGGTGCTACCTATCATGTGACCCCTAGGCGAGATTGGTTTGCATCTTTTGAGAAGCTCGATGGGGGAGTTGTAGTCATGGAAAATGATCAGTCATGTGGCATTTGTGGGATATGTACTGTGCGGATTCGAATGCACGATGGAGTAGTTCGTGAATTGAAGGAGGTAAGATTTGTTCCTCAGCTGAAGAATAATCTTATCTCAATTAGAGCTTTGGAGGCAAAAAGATTCAAGGTGACCTTTGAAGACGCTGTAGCAAAGGTTACTAAGGGATCTTTGGTGGTGATAAAGGGAGTTCGTAGTCAAAATTTATACTATCTGAAGGGGAGCACCGAGATTGGCCAGGTCGCTTTGGCTATTTCAGAGGTGGACATGAGTAGACTTTGGCATTATAGATTGGAGCACACAGGTGAGAAGTCACTACAGGCGCTGTGCAAGTAGGGACTATTGAAGGGAGCCAAGAGTGAAAATTTTGAGTTATGTGAGTGTAGGTTGTCTAAAAATCATAACAGATAGCTAATCTCCATCAAACACCGATGATGGAAGTTACAATTCGACGGCTTCCAAAATGCTACAAATTAAAAACTTTCACGTAGATCGATGAATGTTACAATCTGATGACCTTTACAACAACCGATGAAAGCTCTAGTTTAACAGCCTTCACAATCAACATCGGGAGTTACAATCTGACGACTCTCATATTTTCAAAGAGCCAAGATGAAGATTACAAGATGACGATCTTTGCAACGCTCCAGCAAAAGAGACCATAAATTGACGGTCTCTTCACATCAAAATGCAGAGGTCATCCCTGCGTTTCATTATCAAAACACAAAGGTCATCCATGTGTTACAACATCAAAATGCAGAGGTCATCCCTGTGTTACAACATCAAAACGCAGAGGTCATGCCCACGTTTCAGAGTCAAAACACAGAGTTCATCCCCAACGCTCCAACTCAAAACACAGAGTTCGCAGACTCAAAATGCGGAGTTCATCTCTGCGTCCCAACTCTGCGTTTCAGATTTACAACACAACGTGACCTGTGTGTTCAGCCACCAAAATAGGCCCAACTCTGCGTTTCAAGTCTAAAACGCAGATTTCGGGCCCTGAACGCTATTTTTCAGCGTTTGACTCGTTCAAAGCACGAACTGAACGATTTCAAAACTATTTTTTCCATGATTTAGGGAGCAGATTAAGGGGATGGTTACACCCCATTCAGCCCTACTTAGGAGGGAATAAAGGGGGCGGTTACACCCCTTAATCCTCTATAAATAGCGGGAAACTCAATTGAGTTCAGGCTCAGGGATTGATCCTCTTTTCAGCAGCAAAGAAGAGATCTTTTGGATAGATCATCTTTAAGGGAGAATGACATTTATCTTGGGAGAGCTCAGATCATTCTTCGGCAACATGAGCTTTCTTCATCCTTAGCTTACAAACCGATTTCGGTTAAATTAACTCTTTCATAGAGTTTCAAACTCGTTTAGAGTTATCAACTCATCAAGAGTTCTTTAAAACTTTCTTTATAAGTTCTCCATAACGTCAAATCGTGAGGAGGAGATACCGTTTTAGTGAATCAAGACGTTCGGATCGTCAACAGAGAGCAAACTCGACGCGAGTATTCGAGGGAGGCACTCTATCGCCACCGTGAAGAACCCAGATTTAAACAAAGGGGAGAATCCAGATAAATTCTTCTCTTGTGTAATCGGAAATTCAAATTGTAATCAAGATTGAGAGAATAAAATATTCAATTCTTTCATTGTCTTTTTACAAATTTTCCACCAAACAGTGAGCACCGTGTTCTTGGCAAAAAGACGAAGGTGAAGTTCGTGACAGCCATTCACCAGACGAGGGGCATTCTAGACTATGTGCACATAAATATTTGGGGTCCTACCAAGACGACATCACTTGGTGGTCGATATTGGTTCGTCACGTTTGTTGATGACTATTCTCGACGATATTGGGTGTACACCATGACAAAGAAGAATGAAGTCCTAGATATATTTATGGAGTGGAAGAAGAGATTGGAACTGCAGACTGGGAGAAAGATCAAGACGTTACGATCCGATAACGGTGGTGAATATACTTCAAACCCCTTTCTGCAGCTATGTCGAGATGAGGGCATAGAGAGACACTTCATAGTTAGTCATACACCATAGCAGAATGGGATGGCAGAGAGACTGAATCGGTCTTTACTAGAGAAGGTCAGATGCTCAGGTTCAGGATTTTATTACGGTTCGGAGATAGAGGATAGATATATGAATGCTAACATGGTATGCCGACACAGTTGTGTATGCACTTCCGGTGGAGAGTATCGATGGGATGATGCTTACTATATTCAGAAAGGCCGAGCATAGTTCAGAGGCTAATTCGTGGCAGGTAGCTATGCAGGAGGAGAAGAAATCTCTTCATAAGAACGATACGTGGGAGTTTGTTGAGTTTCCAAAGGGACGGAAGGCGATTGGTTACAAAAGGGTATACACAAAGAAGGAGGGCATTGAGGGCACTCCGTTGAGGTTCAAAGCTAGGTTGGTTGTGAAAGGCTATATACTGGAGGAATGTATTGACTATAATGAGGTTTTCTCTCCGGTGGTGAAGCACTCTTTGATTCAGATTTTGCTAGCTTAGGTGGCACAATATGGTTTGGAGTTAGATCAGTTGGATGTGAAGACGGTATTTCTTTATGATGATCTTGATGAAAGAATATATATTACTCAGCCATTGGGATTCTGAGTTGCAGGGAAAGAAAAATTGGTTTGCAGATTGAAGAAATCGCTATACGGTTTGAAGCAGTCTCCTCAACAGTGGTATAGATGATTCGATGGTTTTATGATTGGTCATTCGTATACTCGGAGCCAGTTTGATCTTTTTGTATATTTTCGTAAGTTGAAAGGAGGTGCATATATCTATTTGTTACTTTATGTCGATGACATGTTGGTTACCTCTATTTCCAGATCTGCTATAGATGAGTTGAAGGCACAACTTTCAAAGGAGTTTGAGATGAAGGATTTGGGTGAGGCAAAATGCATTTTAGGGATGGAGATCGGCAGAGATAAGAAGAAGGACAGAATTTGTTTAACACATGTGGTTTATTTGAAGAAGGTTCTACAACGATTTTATGTTAGCATGGATACGAAGCCAGTTAGTGTACCTTTGAAAAAATTCTCATTTGAAACTTTCAGCTGACCTTTCACCAAAGATAGTTGAAGATAGAGAGTTGATGTCGAAGACTCCATATGCAAGCGCGGTCGGGAGCTTGATGTATGCGATGGTATGTACGAGACCGGATTTGTCACAGGTGGTGAGCATGGTTTCGAAATACGTGCACGATCCAGGAGTGGGTCATTGGGACGCCGTGAGATGGATTTTGAGGTACATTCGAGGTATGCTTAATATTGGTTTGGTTTATGAGCGGGACACTACAGGTGGGCAGTTGTGTTTTAGCTATGTTGATTTGGATTATGTCGGGGATTTAAATAAGCGCCGGTCTACTATTGAGTATGTGTTTATTTTAACCCGTGCGCCGATGTGTTGGAGATGCACCTTACAGTCTACGGTGGCTTTGTCTACGATGGAGGCAGAGTATATGACGGTTACGGAGGCTGTGAACGAGGCTATTTGGCTTCGATGACTTTTGGAGGAACTTGGTATATCGCAGTGGTCCGTCACCATTCATTGTGATAGCATGAGTGCTATCTATGTGGCGAAGAATCAGGTTTTTCATGCGAGGACGAAGTACGTTGATGTTCGTTATCACTTCGTTCGGGATGTTCTTGAAGATGTCGATATGGAGATTGTGAAAGTCCACACGAAGGATAATCCGGCAGATATGCTCACTAAGGTGGTTCTGAGCAACAAGTTTGATCATTGTCGAAACTTATTGCACATTCGTGACTGTTGAGGCCATTGACGGCCATTTGGATGAACTACGTGAAGGCTTGATTCCTTGAACAAGAGGATACATAGACAGTCATTTATGATGTAGCCAATTTGGTGAGTAGATACCGACGTTTGGAGTTTTTTCGCATTCTCATTTGGGTCTCAACTTGTTGTGGATTGAGTCCGTTATCATGAGTTGTTTCACTTCGTACTGGACACAACAAGTGAGACGTTTGGTTTTGGTTGGTGTAGGCTCAGTTTTGGAAAAACTTCATCAAGGTGGAGAATTGTGAGTGGGGGCCACCCTTTTCGCGAGAGACTTCGCTGAGTTCGGAAGGCCCACCTGAATAGAAGGTATAAATATAGCTTCTAATTCGTTCCCTAGATGGGCGTGCAGGCAGAGGGTGAGAACGCAAAAAGGCGGCTGTGCAAAAGAGGGTTCGTGCAAGAGAGCAAAAAAAAAAGTCGGTTGTGTTCTCTTTTGGCGGTGTAAGAGCAGAGGGGAAAACCGAAGGTGTTTTCGGCTGAAGAAGAGAAAAATCACAGCAGCTTTTGTTAGGGTTTTGAGCATCCATTGGTGGAGATATTTGTGAGAAATTTGAGAGTTTGTGTGAGGGTTTAATTTGTGTGATTGTAAACCCTATTTGTATTCTCTCTCTCTAATAGTAGATCTCCCCCCTCCTTGCCCCGTGGACGTATGCAATTTGCCGAACCACGTAAAATTGGTTGTCTCGCTGGTTGTGTGATTTGTAATAGCTTATTTAGGTTCCCTCGACAGGTGAGTCCTAGAAGTGATGAGAGGAAAAGCTGATATCCCACTTTGTTGAGATATTTTACTTTTGGTTCTTGTTTCCTTTGTGAAACGAGAATTCTTATTGCGACCTAACTCTCTTGTTGTGCTGCCGAAATTTCCGCTGCGCACAACAGTAGTAGCATACAAGAACTGGGGAACGTAATTGCAATTTCATTGATTTGAGGCTAATTTAAAAATACGAAGAATTTAAAAGACCAATGTTGGATACCCCAATTAATATGAATTTTCGATTTGAAAAGCAGAATCTTCAATGTCAAAATATACAAAATTATTCATACCTGTGTGTGCATTGGCTAGCCAAGTCTGAGGTTTTGAATCCTTTGTTTATCTCTTTGCCCCAATCCTGCATGAGAACAGCAATAGTTAGTGGGGTAGCAGTAATGGATCCTGCACTGGGCTGGGCCAAGAAAGGCCTACTCTAATGCTAAGCATGGTAATGTGCTCTTCAATATCATTTTTCTCCAAAATATTCATAAGCCTTTAAATGTCAAACCTAGTGTTAGGAGACATTCTCCTCCAATCTAGCTACTTGAAGGGTACGGTGATTTTTGGATGAAACTAAGAACTGCCATTTATAAAACATATATAAAACTATCCAAATTTAAAGTGATTTTACATTAGATATGGCAAAACATCACAAATTCTAAAAGAACAATCCACATGAAAAAGTGGTTGTTTGAGCGTTACAGATTGCAGAGTGGGGATAGGGGGAAAGTTTAGACATTTTATTACCCAAATTGTATGGTACAGAAGACTCTACTCGCACGTGATATATCTTATACTATAACTATATATAATGCAATGGATTTTTTGTCATAGAAACCAACTTTAAAATAAGGTTATTCTATAGAAACCAAATTCATTTTCAATTTATACATAAACCACATTTAAAGTAGTATTTTTTGTTGCAATCAACCACCTAGGCTACTTTTCAGTTAAGTTTTTATGGTATTTAAGTGAAAAATTAAATACCATAAAGTCACATCATTTTTTGCCAAAATACCATAAAGTCACTTCATTTCTCACGCTATCATTCTTAACGACTAAAACTTTAGAAAACCACCCCTCTCTATCATTCTGTTACTATATAACCAATCAAGTCCATTTCATCCAATTTTCTATTCAAAAATTATATTTTGGTGGTTTTACCTCTATATAGGTTTAATTTTGTTGGACTTTGGGTATCAAAGTTAAATTTTGTTGAATTTCGGGTAGCATAATTAATTTTTTTTGAAATTTAGGATATCAAAATTAAATTTGGGTGAATTATGGGTATCAAAGTTAAATTTCATTAAACTTTAGGTATTTTTAGGCAAAAATGAAACTTTGAGGTATCAAAGTGAAAAATGAAGTGACTTTATGGTATTTTGGAAAAAAAAAAGAAAGAAAGAAAGAAAAACACTTTCAGGTGTCAAAGTTAACATGGGAAATAATTTGGGGTGTTTTAATATTGATCCCAAAGTTCAACAAATTTAAACATGTGTAAGGGTAAATTCATCAAACTATCATCATCATCATCATCATCATTATCATTATTTTGGATGCAAAATTGGATGGAAAAGGACATGGGAGGTTCTATGATAACAGAATAGTAGTTTGCGATGGTTTTATGAAATTTGAGTAATTAAAGATTGTAATTGTTACAAATAAAATTTGTTTCTGTGTTTTTAAGGGAATTATTAAAGTTAAAATCTGAAAATGTAAAAATTTCAAATAAAACCTGAGCATAGAGCCTAGCATTCCAATCTTTGTTCTTATTGGCATTGCACTTCATGAGATCTTGCCTAGTTCTCGCCACACCAGGATTTCCCTTCCAATAAGCATGGTGGTCCCTGTCTTTCCACTTTATTTTCTTATTTCCCTCCTTGATCTCTTTGCTCAGTGTCACCCACGGCTTTATATTGATCTCAGGCCTGCACAAAATGAAACATTTACTACATAATATTCCTCGTAAATTTTGGTTAATCGCACTTTGCCCTAACAAAATGTGTTTGCGTATTACATCTCAATCGCTTAATTGCAGATAGACCCCAATGCATTATGGAGGTACAACATTTGTACCCTTTAAACTATCTTATTAGTACTTACACATTTTGAAACTCGTATGAGATTATTTCTAATGTTAACTTTGATGTCGCATGGAAATCATGTCACCATAAATTATCTTTTTGCCCAAATTTTTTTTAAACAAACTAAAGCGTCATGTTATGTGAAGGCATAAATTAAAGCATGAACACCTCAAAATCAAGGGAGGGTGTGAGCGCTAGTAAAATAGTTTGGAAGTTACACAAATGGCCACACCTAATGGTTAACCTGCTTCAATACTAAACATGATCCTATAAAGCAATTAAGTTACCAAATTATTCAAGGCTAGCATTTTCGAAAAAAAACTACATAAAACTGATAAACAAAGGATAAGCCAAAACTTTCACGTGCATATAAATACGTACCATCCCCAGAAAGACCAATCCGGGAACACAATATCGACGGTAGCATCCTCCTTACAATACCGAAACAAAGGCGGTGGGGGCCCACTAAGGCCCAAATAATCATGGGCCCTAACGGTCGGCATGTCCTCACAATTAAACATCAAATCCAAATCCGGGACCCGGCCAGGGTACAAATTCAACAACTGCAAAATCCCCCACAGCGTGAAGACGTCTCTAGTTTGAAACACGTTATGATACTTTTCCAAATAGGCCCGGCCTTTTATTACAGTCAGCCGGAAAGCAGCCATGGGCTTAGCCCGTAGAAGGGTGGGCCTTGAGATGCCTTTTGAGGCCCATGGGCTTAGATCTTGGTGGATCCAACGGAAGTACGACGGGCAAGTTGGAGGTTTTGGGCTTATTCGGTCTTTTGGGCTCTGAGAAGGGGAGGGGGAGGCGGAGGGGGGAGGAGTTGGGGATAAGAGGTTCGGGGCGGAGGTTAAGGGTTTAGGGGCACAGGTTAAGGGTTCAGTGAGGTTCTGGGGGCAGTGGAGGTGGTAAATGATTTGGTTAGGGTTTGGTGTGGGGGAGGAGAGGATTGCATTTGAGCTGAGGAAGGGTAAAAACTGCAAAAAAAAGAAAATATTGCGGGTTAATTTGTGAAGTATAATTTTCTTGAACAGAAATAAATACGCATATGTATAAGTAAAAATCGATGAAATGTAAATACATTTTTTGAACAAATTTCAGAAAATAAGCAATTATATATAAAATAAACCTTCGTGTATTTAGTGAATTATCAACACATCCCTATAAATTATGCAGTTACATCATATGATGTAGGTCCTGATCATTTTCTTATGAATAGACTTGGATTAATTCATCAACCACAATTATTTATTACCTAGCTCATTATTTTTTAATTAGTTGAATCAATATGAACAATACAGAAGGCTGTTTGTTTAGTACACCAAAACTTAGCTATACAGGATTCAGATCCAATTCTTTTTTTTCTTTTTTTTTTCCTGTAGAGTCCTTTCAGAATCTTGAGTTGCGATGCCTGAACTTCTTGGTCAACTACAAGTAATTAGCTGACCATCACATCAAGAACATAGTTTTAGAGCAAGATGAGATCTAGTTATCTTCCATTATATTGTGTAAATTAGTCCATGATGTCAACTTTATCACTCCAATTAAAAAAAAAATCTCCATTTCTTCAACTCTTATAAGATCAGCGTCCCTTTCTTATATTGATAGAAAATTCTTAGATGGTATCAGACGTTGTCTGAGTAGACAATAGAAAAGTTGGTGTGCACATGTTTTTCTCTGAATTTATTATATTCTTCGCAAGAATGGGTCTAAAAAACTACAAAGTTGACATCCATTAGGATGTATATTAACCATCTTTTTATTCACGTTAATTACTTTTCAACGGAAGTTTCTATTTTGAAACAGAACAAAGGAAAGTGTAACAGGTTCCTTGAGAAACTTTTCATCCTCTCTTTCCTTCGTCAAAGACACCCTCAGAAGTTGAGATGAAATTACTTCATACCTTTTGTTTTCATTTATTTTTTATTTTTATTTTTTTTCCATTCAACCTAAGACAGCAACCCTATGCGTGCATAATGCAAACTTCATGCAAGCATCAAATTTCAAGGGTTAATAGCACATAAACCCCTGAGTGAGTATTTTTGACTTTTTTTTTAACCTCAGGGAGCTTAAGCAAACATTCTTGGGGATAAAAGAGTCAAAAAAAATTTTACCCATGAGGTGTATCTGTGTGTTTCAATTTTTAGGAGCTCTTTGGTTGGATGGATGTTGAGTTTCAAATGTAAATAAAATAACCAGATTTGTAAATACATTGTGTGGCTTACAACTTTGTTATTAGGAAAGATATATACTCACATTTTTGTAGAGAATATATTGAAATAAATGCTTTGATTGGAGGATAAGATGCAAGCTTCAAAAAAAAAACGAAATTAAAAAGTAAATATAATTCCACCTCATTCATCTTTCTAAGTCCAAATAAGAAAACCAACTACAATCAAGTTTCCTTATTTGGAAAAATTTTGTAGTTTTTGCCTAATTGTTTTTCAACCAAACACTAAGCTTTCATTTGGAAATAAGTCTCCTACTATATAATTGCAGATATCCAAACATCGAATTTGAAGTTTTTCTTGCAACAAATGTTGCGTGCAACATTTGCTGCAATTTATTAGCTAACCAAAAGCCCATAATAAGTGGCATGATAGGATATTACAAGGGCATGTGTATAATTAACCTTCTAATAATTGATGAATCAAATCAGTGGGTTAGAGCATGTACATCTTCAAGTGGACGAACAGATTTTCAAAATACTAAATTAAGTGCATATCAGCTCAGACTGATTATGCATAAGGATTTATCATCATCTACATGCATCTACTAACCTACAATCTTCAAATCAACAACTCCAACGATGAGGCTCTTTACTCTCTTTCTTTCTTTCATTGAAAGTGATTTAAAAAAAAGTAAGAAATAATAAGAAAACATAATTCGTCATAATTTTCCTCCTTGATTAATACCCTCTAAAAGCTCAGAAACAAATTAATAAATGCGAGATTTAACATGGAAAAGAATTTATCGTTCCACTAATTTTCTTCAGTAAAAAATGAGAGATATATCTTAACATGAGCAAACTTACAGATGTGTCGATCCATTGTGTCGAAAAAATCACACCACCAACGAGAAGAACGAAGAACACGATTACTGCTTTCGACGACAAAGAGACTGCAGCAAAAATGCTCTTTATTGACCCCCAAAACTTGCTATTCTCCATAATAACCTCTCTTAAATCAAACGATTTTGTTCAATATAAGAGAGCCAAAAGTTTGAGGAGAGTTTGATAAAACATGCGACTTGTTATAACCGATGACAATTAATTTCACAAGTTCGATGTATATGATTAATTCCCTATATTTTGGTAACGGGAGAGGAAGAAGCAAAGCTTTTTTTGTGACTAATTTTTTTTTGGATTTTGTAGAGAAATGAAAGGAAGAAAGAAAGTAATTAAAAGGGTAATAATGGCTTGCCCTCCTATATTGAAAATTTCATGGAGTACTCCTCCCTTTAACTATGGGGAATGGGAGGATTATATATTTCTTTTAGATATAGTGTAGAATTTGTTTTGATTGGTGGGAGTTTTAAACGAAGAAAAGTATTAATTGGTGAAAGTATGGACTGAATTTGTTTATTCCACAGTCCCAGTCTTTACGATTCAGATTTATTGTTTATTTACGTTTGACTGAGAGTTTCGGAAAAGGAATCTATTTTAGTTTATAGTTGCGATTTGTTTTGAGTAACAAAACAAATTTATTGTGGATGTGAAAGAACCTTTAATCTCTCCATGATTTGGGTTTAGAGATCTAACTATTTCTAAAAGGATGGAGATTAATTGTACGCAGTGAACGTAATTGATCGTTGGAGTTTTCAATCTATGTGCCCACTTAAATCTATGATATTTTTAAATTTATATCCCCCAAATCTAATTAACTAATTTAATAACCCCATCAATAACTCATTTTTGTTAAGATTTACTTAGATCCTTATTATCTAGTTTTTAGTGCTAGGGAATAGATACAGTATGTGCTATTTATTTGTAATTTTTTTTCTTTACTTGAATCAAAATGTTCGGATGTCTATTAATTATAAACTCTTCATTTTGAGGAATTAACTCATTCATCCACACTTCAGAGTTACCTTAACCCTTTCAGATTTTGCGCATTGGAAAATTAAGATGTGGATAAACTCAATTTAGTCCATGTGATCATGACATGTGGATAAACTCAATTTAGTCCGTGTGATCATGACTTACTTTTCTTAATTTTAAACCTATTACTGAAAAACATCTTGAGTTATCCCTTAATTGCACTGTTAGCTAACATATTTGGTATAAAATTAAAAATAGTATAAATAAGAGAGGTATATATATATATATGCGAAAAACCAAAAATAAAGTGACGCTCATGGGAGTTGGATATTAAAGAAAATCCATGAATTTCTTCGAGATATAAATGAGTGAATCATAGTCAAATAACCGCAATTGGCCCCTAGCTAACGTTCGAGAGGATCTATTAATGGGATTGACCACTGTGAGCCGGGCCTCATTGGGCTTTGGGATTTCCAATCAAGTCGGGAAGTAAAAGCATTTCATGTGAAATGAGTGAGCCTCTATCTTCAAAAGAAGCTAGCCCGCCCTGGGAAGAATCGCATTGAAATAGGCCCAACAGGCAATATTCAATTATAGAGCCCAGTCCAACGTAATTTTAATGATATTTTAACGTAATTTTAATGAGAAAGTAATAAAATTGATGTTGGGAGTTTGGCATTATTTACTAAAGGGTTAATTGCACAGAACCCCTCTGAACTTAGGGGTGTCTCACAACACCCTTATGAACTTTTAAAGTTTTCTCACTGCACCCAATAGCTATAATTTACAAATAACTAATTTTTCCTTGAGAGAGAAAACCCTCAATTGAGATGACATTATATAATACTTGTTAACAAAAAATGATGCATTTTAGTTATTTGCAAATTATGGATCCCATGAGAAAAGTTAAAGTTCAGCAAGGTTATGTCAGATAAGAAACAGCTCGAGGGTTTATATGCAAAAGCCCCTCCCAAAACAATTCAAAGGGGTTATGTGAAATCAACCCTTTATTAAAATACATAATAATTTTATTCACTTTTAGCTATCATTTTTTATGGCTCCGGTCCTTACTTACCCCCTAAACTGTCAATTTTGTCTCTTTCTTACACCATGAACTATTTTTCCATCCCACTTTATCCCCTCTAAACTATCATTTTTCTCTCTCTATATCTATTTAAATATATCAATAAAGTAAAAAATGAAAAGTGGTAATTAATTAGGTACTCAAAGTGACAGTTTAGGGAGTAAGACGGATGAAATTAATAGTTTAGAAGGCAAAGTGGGATGAAAGATAGTTCAAATTAGGGCTGAGCATGGTTCGGTCCAAACCGAAAAAACCGACCGAACCGACCCGAACCGATCTGAAAAAATCGGTTTTATGAGTAGGGTGGTTCGGGTCGGCTTGAAAACTTTTCAACCCGAACCGACCGAATATAGTGCAATACTACTCATTCTGATCTCAAACACTACCCGACCCGTCTCCAAAGAGTCAAATACTCAAACTCTAAACTCATTTTCTGGATCATTATGAGTTGAAAACAATATCATTATATCAGTGTTTAATGCTTTATAATCTCCTACTTTGTTGATATTTTTTTAACACATTTTGTTGTTTGATAAGAAGTTTGATAAAGTTAGAACCGAACAAACCGAACCGAACCGTACCGAACCGACTTGCAACAGTTCGGTTCGGTTTTGAATTATAGGCGGTTCGGTTCAGTTGTTCAAATTTTGGTAAAAACCGAACCGAACCGACCGTTGCACACCCCTGGTTCA